CAGTCACTTAACATATCCTTGATACTTCAGCTGACAATATTACTGATAAAAGCAAACCGTTTTCAGGAAATTACTGAATGAATTGTCTACGCTTTCTATAATCTTTATTTAATGCACCCACTTTCATCTATGAAATATGCTTGGAAAGGCACCACGAACACATGATGTGAAATGTTCAAATGTCGTGCAATCCTCTCAAGAATGGTATTCAGTATCCTACGACTGTCAGAGTTTGTAGGAGTATGATTTTACGCCGCATTGGGCAATATGTTTGCAATACCACGGCGGATGACACAAGTATAACGGGAACACATATTGTACCAAAAGGGAGAATCGAACCAGGGTATTCGATGTATGTTACTAACGAGCGATTCAACCACAAGGCTAACCCACTGTACCGATGGTTGTCGGAAACGAACATTAATGGTGGAGTCTGTGTGTATAGTGGAGGTGTGTGTGAGTGTGTGTGTGTCAGAGAGAGAGGGGGGTGGGGGTTGGGGTGGTGTCATGGTGTCCCAAAGATTGAAGTCGTTATCTATCAAGAATTACTTAGTGATGTAGCCAAGACGTAGCATCTTAATTCGATCTGGTTTCGTACTTAAATCTGGATCCTGCCACGCCTAAGGGACACAACTCCTCACAAGAAAATGCGACTTCTCCAAAGACTGAAACACCGTCCGTAAAATCATAAGTTGTGTGGTTAGTTAAATGAATGCGTCACTACTGATGCTGTTTCAACAATCGTGCTTTAAAAAATAAAACATAGTCGAGCTTAATATTTTTTAATATTTTAGCTATTATTATAACTACATGAGTATCACATATCATCAGCAAAGGGTCAGATCGCTCCTCGACGTAACCCCTACAAGTGTCAACGTGCAATCAATATGATACAGTGGACTTGTGGGATCAGCTATATCAAATATTCTACACACATAGTAGCAGTTTGGTACATAGATATTGCTTATAACACGCATAAATGTATCACATATGCTGGTGGTATGATGATATATACAATTTAGCAACACGCTGTATCTCTCAGAGTACATAACATTGACATTTATCACATGTTTATGGCACAGATAGCTGTCAAATCCTAGCTATGTACTGCTCTACCGATACACCCTGACATTCATTTATCGGTCCGTGAGCCCTGTAGAACACTGCGCAGTAAATGATAGAAACAGAGTGAGTGAGTTTAGTTTTAAGCCACACGTGAACGAGAACAGGCTAACTTCCTTAAGCCTTTTTTCAGAGAGGAAATAGTGGGTTGGTTGATTGGTTTGTTGTTTAACGCCGCACTCACCAATATTCCAGCTGTATGGCGACGGTCTGTAAAATAATCGAGTCTGGACCAGACAATCCAGTGATCAACCGCATGAGCACCAATCTACGCAGTTGGGATACAATGACATGTGTCAACCAAGTCAGCGAGCCTGACCACCCGATCCCGTTTGTCGCCTCTTACGACAAGCCTGGGTTACAGAAGACACATCGCTACTCGAGTCTTCACGATCCCGTAAGCCGCCTCTTACGACAAGCATGGGTTACTGAAGACCAATTCTGACCCGGATCTTCACGGGTGAACCAGAATAACTTCACCCTTATCCCGTGCTGTGTTATATAGGAAAAGTCACCTCATTTCCTGGGTCCCGATCCACAAAACGTTCGTCGCGCTACGACATTCGTAAGCCTGTGATAAACTATAGAGTTCCGACAGGTCGTAACGTTACGAACGCTTTGAGGATCGGGACCCGGGTTCATTCATGTACACTATGGGAAGGAAGGGGGAGGGTTGCAGACAATGATCGTACAGAATATGATCTCCTCAAAGTTGTTTTAAGCTGTATAACGGCATTCCGTAAGTACTCGAGTCTGGACAAGAAAATCCAGTGGCTGACATCATGACCATCGCTCTACTTACCGTATTTCCTCTAATAAGCGCCTGATGTAAATCAGCGGTTCAAGAAATATGCTCCGGGCCTCAAATAAGCGCGGGGTAGATTTTTAGGAATACTAGTAAATGTTTCCGCCCTTGATCCAAAAATAGGTTTATTAAAGAATGATCCATAACTTTGACGTAACGCTCACTAACAATAAATTACGGTACACCCAGTAAGCGCAATAAGCGCCGGGTCTGGAAGTCCGTTGAAAACATAACAGCCCGAGCGCATATTAGGGGAAATATGATAATTTACATTCGATGGCATGTGTCAGCCAAGCCAGTGATTCGCTGCCTGTACCCAGTGTTATTTAGAACGGACTGCCAAATTGATAAGCATCACTTGATTTTCAGTCACAAAGTTTTTGAATAACCTTTGAAATGTTCTACTATCGCCTAACACAAACTTTGTCACCAATCACAAAATGGTTTGGGAATTTATAACAATAATAATAAAGTATACCAGTTTCAACTTGGCTTGTGGAATCCAAAGATAATTCAGCGTCACACGCTGTAAGATCGGTGCTGTACGAATGACCCTGATCGTAGATGTAAAAGGGTCATTAATATACGAAGGGGAGTAATAAGCAGAGTAATGCATTGCTATGATTTCACAACAAATAACATCATGTACTAGATATGATCGCATACGTAAGGAAACAATATTCCTATATATTTACGGGAAGGTGTCAATACCAATAAGACTGCATTATAACAGCCACAAAATAACAAGTTCATTTCATACAGGGATAAAAAGACAACACTCTTCACCATGGTAATGAACAATAGTAGAACACTATAGTCTGTTTGCATTGAAAACGTACCGATGAATTGCACTTTAAACAAAAAAGTAAATCGAATAAGATGAAATTAAGATTGCGAATCCTCATAATTTTACCTTGCCAACTGATCATTTAAATATCAGAATTTTATTCAACTTAGGATAAAAGTTGTTTAACAAACGATCATAGGTTCAAATCGCTATTATTGGTTTGTATTACAAGGGTGTATGCACATTAAATGAAACACCGAGAACAAGTAGGGTTGGTCTAAGTTAACGCTCATCACGAACCGCACGTGCATTTGTTTCACTGTTCCATCTACTGCGCTCACCCCCTTGTTAACCATTAAATTACATTTGTGACGTCAACCATTACTTTTGAATTGTGTTTCAGTTTCAAAATAAAACCTTCATTTTGTTTGACATTTAATTTTGATGCAGAAATATTCCCAATACTTCGAATGTAATGCAAACCAATAATAGCTCCGATTTAAATCGGACTATGATCGTTTGTTGAAACAACGTTTGTTAATCCTTTTGTCCTACAATGAATACAATTCTGAGATTTAAATGTTCAGTTGGCAAGGCAAATTTATGAGGATTCGCAGTCTTAATTTCACTTTAGTTGATTTACTTTTTTGTTTAAAGTGAAATTCATTGGTACGTTTTCACTGCAAACAGACTATAGTCGTATCAATTTCTGGCGAGGAGCATTCGTGAACATTCGTGTCATATACCGGAGCAAACCAAGCGGCGACTCGTGGTTCTCGTAGACTGGTTCCTGTCCCTGTTGTTCACGTTCGCTCCTGTATAACAGATGTGGCATCGGCTGCGCATCGGCTGCGCATCGGCTGGGTGGGACTTGTTTGGAATCACAAAAGAGGTTCTCGTTGTCTTTTGACTGGTTTCATTACTGCGCAGAAGTTTTGGGATAAGTATTTGGACTATTTCCAAACAGGACAGAAAGTGACTGGGATTCGAACCAACACTTTCAGAGCTTGGCACCTCATCGCCAACACAAAAAGTCAGCGATCTAAGTCAATCTAACCCACTCAGCCATCGCAACCTCCTCAAAAATGGAAGTCTGACCACTGGTAGTCTTCACCACGGACTTTGTATACCCCTCTGACAAGTGTAAATTGACATGGCTCCTACAACCGAAACTTTAACATAACAATATTAAAATCACTTCCTACATTACGTTTATACATCGGACCAGAGATGGGGTCATAATTAATCAGCTGACTCATTAAACAAGCAGTTTTTACCATTCGTCGCCACTTGCTCCTTTCCGTAACCTTCAAGAACACCCGTCCCTCAATCTATGAATGTATGCTTTGGGGATTTTACGTGCGTTTTCTAACATATTTAGGTAATGCAATTATATACAGTTACGAGTTCCAAGACAATGAATTACACATAACATATCAACTTTCATCTTAAGCACTGCTCTCACATTTCCCTTCACTGGGGATGTTTATTTAAAACAACAACATTTTCTTTCATTCTAGCAGGATGGACTTAACGAAAATCAACATCCTATAAACTATCCACTTCTCCCTGGCTGTAACTATGAACACGAAGCCACGCCGCAATATATTCAGAGTTACCCACCCTTGTCTCGCACGAAAATTCCTGACAAATGGACCTGTCACCAAAAATACAGTTAACTCGGGAGAAACCGTAAAACAAATATTTATCCCAATATAATCAATTATCCAAGAATCCATATGCTTAATTTAACTTTCTACTCAGCAATGTAATAGTATACACTTACATACATTACATACGAATACAGACACAACAACTGACGAAACGAATGTCACATAGACAATGCAAAGGCTCATGAAAGACTAATAATTTCGGCCCAGCATCACTCATTATAATAACCCGAACAGCACTCCTCCTCACTGTCGAAGAAAACAATCTGACTGATGCGGCAAGATACACATGACTGTAGACCCCGACCCTTCAAAACAACACAACACAATATATACCCATAACACTTAAACCACAGGCAAACTGTAGCGTTGAACCGGAAGCTGGCAGGGGTAATGGAGGCGAAGAACGATTTGATATGCCACGAGTGGCGCTTAACAATTCAATATGTTCTACGTGAGTGATTATCAAATATGAGGTTGGAAATCTGCGAGCACAACCCTGTGAGGAAATGGGTGTCTACCTTTTATGGTGGCGATATTTTATTTTGACATTAAAAATATTTTTCGAATCGAAGCGAGGGGAGCACGTTGCCAACCTTTGCTCGCTTTGCTCGCATACAGTAAGACTGGTAATTTTTCTCTCTGTTGCGCAACCCTATTTGCGCTACAGTTTGCCTGTGCTTAAATCCTTCTAATCCGGACAGTATCACTCCAGACGAATGACCACATTTAATGATTAACGCTCTAGGTATGATACAATACCAGTGTATGAAACAAGACCTGTCCGACAGCCCGTAACCTGGTAACTTTTGGTCTGGGCCGGCAACTTTTGAAAGTTTTTTGTTTAATTATGCCATTTAAATTGACAAATTATCACATTCGGGCTGGCGATTTTTCAAACTACTTTCATACACTGATAATATACCACTGTTTATTTAAATATTCTAATGAAGATCGTTCGGATACCACGATGTCCACACTATGAGGGTTATACTATATATATTAACACGCAGACAAAATGGCGGAGCGATACTTGAGTGAAGTCAGATATATCTGCGGAAAGGTATCTTGTCGCTACTTCTGTCTACTATATGGACTACAATCAACTCAACATATTCCTGTTATATATAACCTTTTCATGGTATAAATGTTATAACTCCCACACAAGCTACATGAACATGACTGGTATGACGTTGTTTTAACAACACACCCCTACAGGGCCTCAGATCTAAGAGTCGAGACTGAATGCCTGTATTTTGTCAATGGCGTGTTGCAAGTTCTCCAGCTGCCCCTTCAGGTTCCTGGCCACGGAGTGCAACACTCCCTTAGTGTTGAGCAGCTGGACTGACTGGGTGTAGGGGTCATACTGCACTTCGTATGGACGTTTGATCTGAGATGCAAAGTTCCTGCAAAACACAAAGAAGAAAATGTTGGCTCTGTCTTTGTCAATCTTTAATAGTTGTGAAATATAATTGTTGGACTGACTGAGAGTTGGGTCATATTGCAGGTCGTATGGACGTTTGATCTGAGATGCAAAATTCCTGCAAAACAAAAAGAAGAAAATGTTGGCTCTGTCTATGTCAATCTTTAATAGCTGTGAAATATAATTGTTGGACTGACTGAGAGTTGGGTCATATTGCACGTCGTATGGACGTTTCATCCGAGATGCAAAATCCCTGCAAAAAAATAAAATAAAAGAATGTTGACTGTGCCAATATGTAGGGGTGGGTATTGCAGAGAATTTTCATATTGCGATATATTGCGATGCGGAAGCATATATTGCGATATGTATTGCAATATATTGCAAGAATTATTTTTTAACAAAAACTATTTATAATCGAGTTAATGCTTGATTACAAAGCAAAAACACAACAAAATCACTATGATTGATTAACCTTTAATAAATTTTTATTCATGACAAAATAAAAATGTAAGTAACATATGGCACTAATGAAACAGGGAAAAGAACAATTCAAAAAACGGAAATATCCAAAGATTTCCGAGTGTTACGAAGTTTTCCGAATGCATGTCCAAATACCGGTTTTCGATCAGCGTATCGCAATACGTATCGTTTTCATGTCTGAACCGGTAAATACCGGTAAACCGGTTATATTGCGCAGCCCTACCAATATGTCAATCTTTTAATAGCTGTGAAACAGAATTGTTGGGCTGACTGAGTGGAAAGCCATACTGCACATCGTATGGAAGTTTGATGCAGATGCAAGGAATAAAATATAAAGGTTGACTGTGCCAATATGTCCAGAGCTCCAGATAAGATTTAGCTCATGTGGGTACTGTACCCACTGTAATTTTTTGGAGTGGGTATTATGAATGTTAAGTGGGTATTTCATTTTCCGTTACCCACTGCTTTCAAATATGTGCGTATTTCAGTCATTTTACTCACCTAAGTATATATGTCATTGAGTAAGTTTACTAAGCAGGTATGTTCTGCCTCATGTCATACCTAATCAAAACCAACTTAAATATAATGGAAATGATTTCATAAAAACATCACTCATCCAATACTGACAGTACAACACTAGTCCTATACTAACAGTACAACTTGATAGCAATCGATGTCTTTTTCATTACGCAAGCGATTTTTATAAATATATTCCGTACGCATTTGTTTTAAACTTTTTGTGTATCTAACATTTTAAATGCGTAATTGGTACGCAACAATTATTTTTCAATGCGTAATTGGAAATTTTCTATGCGTATTTTACCCGGATACGCAGCTTATCTGGGCCTCTGCTGTCAATATTCATTCATGAAGAACGTGGATGCACCGGCTACAATTTTTTAGTTCTCAAGAACCTGAAAATGTGGTCGCATTTGGAATAAAGGGACGTGTGAGACCGCACGACGAAAGAGAGGTCTGAATTGTATCTAAGTAAGAGAAGCGCCGTAAAATCTCTACCTGTGGATTATGTAATAGTCGAGTTTATTTGCGACATATGAAACAGTATTTGTGCGACTGATGAGTCCGAGAATACACAGTAAAGGTATGTGATGTTGTAGACAAATGGGTGAAGTCGTTTATAATATCAATCTTTTATAGAACCTCCTAAGTGAAGTAATAAACGCGAGATATTCATAACAGTAAAATCAGCACCGGTCTCCTCTTAAATACCGCTATTTCTTTTTATGAGAAGCACGTGTATTCCATGCTGCGGAGGCAAAGTGTTGGTAAGGACGCCACGTGCCGCTGGGCGTAATTTCCCCTTTATCAATCAGTATCAAATACATCCCATCGAATGACCATTTCTTCATACAGTAATGCCAGAACAAGAGTCAAAATAAGAACCTAAACACGCGATCAGTAGACCCGGTCCCGTTCCACAAAGCGATCGAAGCGCTAAGATGATCGCCATTCCAATACCTTTAACATGGACTTACGACTGTCGTAGCGCTACGATCGCTTTGAGGAACGGGGCCCAGTCTACTGATCGCGTGTTTAGGTCCTTATTTTGAACCCTTGTTCTGGCATTACTGTATGAAGAAATGGTCATTCGATGGGGATGTATTTGATACGGGTAGCAAGAAGCTTTGTGTACGTGCATCCACATACCTCAGAGGTATTTTTACCCAAAATGGGTGGATGTGCTCCGCCGGTGTAAATTTGGACACATAAAACCATTTATCCCATTAATGCCCAGGGCCTAGATTTCCGAAGCTCTCTTAGCGCTAAGATCGTCGTAAGTTAATGTTAATGTATGGCTGTCACGACTATCTTAGCGCTAAGAGAGCTTCGAAAATCTAGGCCCAGGGCCGCGTTTCACAAACCAATCGAAGCGCTACGACTCTAGTATCTCCTAGATACTTTAACACAGAGTTACGACAGTCGTAGCGCTAAGATCGCTTGTGAATGAGGACCCTGGGTGGTAAATTTGTACAAACTTCCCCATTGGTAACTATGACCCACGGGGTATTGTGTTAAAAACGCGTTTCGAAATCAGGTCTACCAGACTCTTTAGACCAATTATATACAGCAATTAAAGCTGAATACGAGTACTTCGCTGCAAGGAATCAGTTACATAGGTTACATATAGCAAATGTGGTTTCTGATAACATTTGAGTCTAATTGTCCTCGTTCTTGTTGCTTTCCTTTCACAAATTGGGGCGGTGGGGTAGCCTAGTGGTTAAAGCGTCTTGGTTGACACATGTCATCGGTTCCCAATTGCGCAGATCAATGCTCATGCTGTTGATCACTGGATTGTCTCGTCCAGACTCGATTATTTACAGACCGCCGCCATATAGCTAGAATATTGTTGAGTGCGGCGTAAAACTAAACTCACTCACTCACTATTAGGCAGTACAGATCTATGGTTTCACAAAGGTTGTGTAGCGCGACGGCTGCTGCCACAAGGGTTGGTACCAACTACGTCTGCCGTCATGACGACACGGCTCTAGCCGAACTATCTGGATGTGTTGTGTGTAATGCTTAGACATGGCGTGACGCACGATTGTTCTGCTGTGAACTGTTCCTCACCGGAATGGTTTCAGGAACCAGGGAGAAAATGCGGGGTGTTCCTCTTTTGCCAGCCTGGCAAGTTAGGGATTATCTAGGGATTAAGAGGATCACCAGACCATGTTAATTAGCAAGACAATGGTGGGTGTGGGTGTGGGTGTGGGTGTGGGTGGGGAGGGTGGGGGTGACGGAGGAGATGACCAAGCCAAGAAAGACACAAGTGGACTATGATTTGTATTTGTAGGCCAGGGAGAACAAACGGCATGTTCACTATTAAAGCAATGTCCAGCCCAACAGGTGCAACAACTCGGAGGACGTTGGGAGTGAGTCTTCCATTTTCGGCAATAGTTTTCCCAAGAGTGAGTGAATGAGTGGGTGAGTTTAGTTTTATGCCGCTTTAAGCAATATTCCCGCAATATCACAGCAGGGGACACCAGAAATGGGCTTCACAAATTGTACCCATGTGGGGAATCGAACCCGGGTCTTCGGCGCGACGAGCGAACGCTTTAACCACCAGGCTACCCCACGGCCCCAGTTTTCCAAGAAGAATTACAACAACGTTTACATCATGCAGCCGCCCAAGCCAACCAATATAGACACCTGTTAACCAGGACTCACAGCCTAATGATTGAGTAACAACAACAAAGTGACCATGTGATTGTTGGGAGCAATAATGGTTCCATCAATAACATCATTCAAACCTTCACGACGTTATGACCAATGAACACTCTCTGATACATAGCTTGGCACATGTCATGGTAGACTGTCTCCCAGTCCCTGAACCGCATTACTTCCCCTACTGCCCAGCCCTTCCTGCAATGCTGAAGCTCTAAATGAAGCAAGTCTAGTTTTCCTCAGTTTATCTCCCTTCTCACTGGGGCTCCTTTTCAATTTAAAAGGAATTGTTTGTTTCTATAAAAATAAGTGTTAGTCTAATGCCGTGGCTACTGATTCACACTCTTGGACTAGCTGTTCCAAATAAGTGACCGTTAGGACTCTGCTGTAATGGCCAAGACATAGAGAGCTACTGAATCGTGATATTCACTGGTCAAGTCTTCTGAAACATGAAAAGTCTTCTGGAAAGCGGAAATCTGGCTGTAACTGTAGGCATATGACTTGAAACATGACTTGCAACATCCTAAGATTTTCATACCATTGATCTTCCTGTTCTCCGAAACATATCTTTCAACCAATTTCTGGTTCGTTTTGTCCAAATTATATTTTCTCTAAGAAAAGACGAACTTATCGCCAAATTTGTAACAAACGTTGCTTTCTCCTTTTCCAAGCATGCTGATCACTGGATTGCCTGGTTCAGACTCGATAATTTACAGACAGCCGCCATATAAGGGCAAAATAGCCGAGTGCGGTGTTAAACAAAACCACCCAACATTCTCCAAGCACTACGTCCAAACCTCACAATTGTTTTGACTCAAAAGCGTAATTGATTGACTGTGTGTAATGAACTACCCCAAATATACCCGTACATAAATATACAGCTACTTTTAACCCTTTGCACCAGTGGTTAAACCCATTGATTGACTGTGTAATGAACTACCCCAAGTATACCCGTACATAAAAATACAGCTACTTTTAAACCTTTACACCAGTGGTTAAACCCATCCGAGGGAAGTATTTTTCCCTGGGAGCAAAAATGGTGCATTATATATGGAACTATACCAGTAAAATTTTTATAACATTTATATATTTTTCTCCAAATCCAATCGTCAATAAAATACGTTCCATTTCCTGTCAGTTTAGGATTCTTTGTATAATATTGAAAACAAAATTGGTTGATAAAATTTTAAAACGACAAATGAAACGTCCTTGTATTAATTTTCATAGGCTTTACTTGTTCTTCAACTGTACATTCAGTTGAACTGTTGAACTCCACTAGAGAAGATGCTTCACTGGTACATACGATTTATATGTAAATATTCAAATCGATATTCATCCGCGGAGATTTTGTGACAAAAAAGTAGCCAACAGCCATTAACTTTTCATCGCTGACAATCAATTAATTCAGGAAGTGTTCTTTTTAAAAAAATGAATCTTCCTTTTTATGAGATTTTCGATTCATAGTGATGTTTGGAATACTTTAGAATATATTGATTTCCATCACCACAAAACGAGGTGAGGCTTCTCCAAACAAAACGACCGAATGAAAGTCAGACGTAAATTTGAACAAAACTTGAGGAATATTTGCGGCAAAAGTGTTCTATTTAACTGCAGTTAAAATGATTTGATCACACTGACCCCTGTAGTTTAGACTTTGTGTTCAATTGATCATAAGAATAAACATACGTTTTGTTTGGAATTTGCGAATAACGATTCCATTTCAGTCAGAACCGCGGTTGAGCTGAGAACTCCAGGGAGGTGCTTGCACTCGCTCAATAAAGCATTGTGACATATGGAAAGAGGTGTCGCTCGGTGGCATCCGATCGATTAGGAGTTGTCATAAGGGAGCCTTTATTATTTTTCAAACCAGCCCCCTTGTATCGAATCAACACAACTCGAATACAGTCAAACCTTACGTTCCATGTTAGATGCGTGCATCAGAAGTCGACGGAGGAGTATTTGTACTAGGAAATATTGAATATTGAACAGCGCTTTTATCGCTGTCTAATTTGGGATTTATGGCTTTCCGGAAACATGTATTTTCAATCAAGGTTGTTTTTATGAACTGAGGATGACTGATTGTTACATTACTTGGGACGCAATATATAAAGCGTCTCTTCGTTGCTAGTGTATACATCAGAGACAATGTGTATGTTTTTTCTGAACGTTTCCTAGTTCGTAAGGACAGATAAGAAGTCATTATTAAGTGCAAATGTCACAATGCAATTCAGCGCTCAGGGCATTGCAATTAACGTAAAATAAATGCAAATAATTATAAACGCATCTCAGTATGAAATACAGGGTAAAACACTAGGCATTCACGTTCTTGATTGCCTAAAATGAGCCATTCAATCGATCGTAATTGGTCCATGATTCGAAGTTGGTTGAGTGACTGAGTCGCGGTAACGGCCTTTTATAAATGCGTCCTTCTTCTCGATTCACCTCTGATATCGATTTTTCATCTAAATGGCATTGTTTTTGCATTGCGCAGGTAGGATATTGTTAAGTGAACTATTTTAGAATTGAAACTGCATAAAATAGAAGTCATTCAAACAGCAGTTGATTTGGAAGAACGAGAAAGATATAGATTATTTGAAGCAGTGTATACATCATTGGTTCTGCTAGTTGCTCCAAAGATAATGTAAGGTCCAGTTCGCTGCTCAAGCCTGAAGTATATGGAGCAGGCGTAGCAACTGGAATCATTTGAGAACAGTGAGTGCCTAACCAAGCAAGACTCACGATGTCAATATCATCTCAGAGAAACGAGCAACGAGAAGGGTATATTGAAAACGAATGCTAAAAATTCATTTGCCCATGAGCTAACCTGTGGTTGATAACAAGAGCAACGAGCAGGCCCTTGGAACCATCCGATCCTCATCAAATAGATCCTTAGGTTTGTTTGTTTGTTGTTTAACGTTCTAGCTATATTTCGGCGGTCTGTATATAACAGTCTGGACCAGAGAAGACAGTGATCAACAGCATGAGCATCGATCTACACAACTGGGATACGATGACATGACTTAACCAAGTCAGCGAGCCTGACCACCCGATCCCGTTAGTCGCCTCTTACGACAGGTATGGGTAACTGAAGACCAATATTCTAACCCGGATCTTCACGGGTCGGGATCCTTAGGACATGTTACGTTGAACGTATGACTCGTACAATACATGTACTCGCTGTACAAGAGACGTTAATAGCACCATCGCCACTTGATTAAAACTGAAATTAAACTGACTGAGAAAAGTAAGTAAACAATAGGAAATCGGATTTGACCAAAAACAATTCAAACGTTATCAAAATGTTCCTGTGTAAAAACAGTCAGCAAGACTATAAATTTCATATCCAAAATACAAATATATCAAATACATTACTATCGAATAATCATGTCTTGTTTCAACTTTGTTTCAGTATAACAACCCGTATGGTCGTATGTTTAGAACCTTGGCCAGCCGGAGCTGTCGGAGCGTTAGCGCAGGCTGAACAGACCCAGGGAACCAGGCTGAACTTTGGCCAGCAACGGAGGGCAGACATACCGGAAGTGGGTTCGTGCACGTGTGTATCACGTGACATCAAACAACCTGTCAGCAGGCGTGAACGTTCTGTAACAATTTCAATTGTGTTATCGTTTGCTTTTGTTTTCAAATCAGAATATAGAACAACCTTCTGGAGTCTCATACAATACTTCTGCTCCACGGCTGCTCGAGGTAGTCTGTAGTCTAGCGGAACAACCCGTGAGGAGCCGATTGGCCAATTTGTTAAAAAAAACCTTTTTGAAAACCTGGCAAACGCAAAGCCGGTTGTGAAAAACGCAAATAAAAAACTGCCTGTAAACCTTTTCGGGAATTCACGCCCACGTATATATTTATCATACGTTGCCACCCATATAACTGAAGCCACAAATCTTCATCGTACACTCTTCACCTTTGAAATTAAGTGAGCTGAAATACTTTCCATTAATTTTTATCACAAGGAAACCCTAATTCAGCTCGGATTTTGGAAAAACTAAAATCCCCCTTACCTCATTTTGTCCATCATGTCTTCGAACGACTCCACCACGACGTACAGAGGCTGCAGGTCCTCGTCGTCATACTTCAGCATGGACGTCTTGAAGGGGTCGAAGGGACGATGTTCCGGCACGTCACTGAGGGCGTGCTTCAGTTCCCCATACGCCGACAACACCGCAGCACCACATGCCCGGATCTGACCCTGCTGCTTGCACAGCCCGAACTCCACAGTGAACCAGTATACCTGGAATAGTTAGAACAGTGAACAAGTGTACCTGCAATAGATGCAATAGTTAGAACAGTGTGAACCAATATAGAACCTGGAACCTGGAATAGTTAGAACAGTGAACAATAGTTAGAACAATGAACCAGTACCTGGAATAGTTAGAACAGTGAACCAGTGTACCTGGAATAGTTTGAACAGTGAACCAGTATACCTGGAATCGTTAAGTCCTGACCTAATTTCCTGGAATAGTGAACCAACATCCCTTGAAAAGAAAGAACAGTGAACATATATAGCTGGAAACAGTGAAATATTATACCTGAATAGTGGAAACTGTGATACCCTACAAAAGGTAGAATTGGCAAAGTTCACTCTTTATGCCTAACCCGTCCGCCGATGGGTCGTGGTAGACTATCAGAGAAAGAGATTGAATCCGTTTCGCTCACCCTCAACACTGACAAACAAGCATCGCTCCAGACACTTACTGTTGCAAACTTTTCAATGTCCTCATCAGCCGCACCAAGAGACAATAGTCCAAGTTCCTGAGAGAACTGGGCGAACACAGGATCCGCTAACAGTGGGGCGTGACCCAGGAGCTCGTGAATACAGTCGCTGTAAGGAGAGTGAGTGAGTGAGTATGGTTTCACGCCGCTTTTAGCAATATTCCCACAATATCACGGCGGGGGACACCAGAAATGGGCGCTGTAAGGAGAGGTATCAGTTGTACGATATTTCAGTTGTAGCACGGCGCGTGGAAGATATAGCTTAGCCTATCACTTAAGTGAAGCGCTTTTGAACAAGCCAGGCGTACAATCAGACATGTATATCACCTGTTGCTGTGTATATTTCTTGTGGTATCTGTATATACCTAAATGTGACATATATATCATATCATATCATATACATAAACAGGATCGTTGGTTTATTTGTTTGGTTAATATTTATTTGATATCTCAGTCATGAAAAGGAGGTGAAATACACTAGAATTAGTGGTTGGTGGATATACTGTATAACTTGCTGTTCTATGACGCAGGAATTGTTCTTGGTCGGAGGACGTGTTTCATACTATATAACTCACGGTTCTGGGGACTGTTCTGGTTTGGAGGGATGTCGGATGTACTGCGTGCACTGGAACACTCTGAAGGCCAAGGACGCAAGGAAGTCACGTGCAGATAACAGACCGGCGACAGGGCGCAGCTGGAAACCAGTTTTACCTGGCGGCGACAAATACAACTGGGTTACAAGAAATTTAGAGAATAGGGCATGCAAGTCTCGCGAGGCGTTACTTCCGGTGCTAAGATGGTTCCCGGCTCCCTTTGCACGCGCCTACTTGCGAGACGTGGCCCAGCTTACTTCCGGTACCAGATTTCCGGTGACAAGCGTATATTCAAGAGCCAGTTCTGGTTCCAAATTGCGCGACCGCCAAATATGACTTTATCAGACCGGCCCAAGTGTACAAAAATGCATGGTTGTCACATCTGTTGACAGTCGTTATAGTTGGGAATAGTAATTGGGATAGTTAGATCGGATATTTGTTATTCCTGCAGGTGATTGGTTCCTTACTGTCAACTTACAATCATGAGAAAAGGTATGAGACGTTGTTTGTCACCGGAAGTACTAAACAACGTAAGGTCTCGCGAGGTGCCGTGACCTACTTCCGAGCCCATTTAAAACAACAATAATTGATTCACTGTACGGTAGATATAAATTATATACTTATGCCAATAATGGTTGTCACCCCCCTCCCCACCCCAACACACCCTCTCCAATAAAAATAATTTATTATGCTTTAAAGGAGTCACTGACCAGGGCTCCAGATAAGGGCCGTATCGGCGTATGTACGGATAAAAAATATGCACGATACGGTAGGAAATAATTTAGAAAACGTAGCAAATACGCAAATAGCAATGGTGTACGGTCTTAGAATCTTGTTTTATTTTTCATTGACCTGTTTACACAAGAATCAATGTTGTGGTGCATACATGAAACGAAACACAAGATTACTGATACTCCATTAAATTCCATTCAGTACTCTACATGTACACTTAAGGTTTTCCAGTACTCCTATATTGAACAAATAAGGAGTACGTACTCCTGATGTTGAAAAATTATCTGGAGCCCTGCAGTCACTGTACTTAAACCGTGACATCTGTTTGCACTTCAACGTAGCTTTGATCACTATTTCAGTCAGGGTATGATTGTATATTGTTTAACGCCGCAATCAACAATATTCCAGCTATATGGCGGCGGTCTGTAAATAATCGAGTCTGGACCAGACAATCCAGTGATCAACAGCATGAGCATTGATCTGCGCAATTGGGAACCGATGACATGTGTCAACCAAGGCAGCGAGCCTGACCACCCGATCCCGTTTGTCGCCTCTTACGACAAGCATGGGTTTCTGCCTAATAGACTGGAAGTCCACGGCGCACCCAGTGACAGTCATCAACCAGTGACAACGTAGGGATCCTCCCTTCAAGCGGTACCAACAGGGATACACTTTGTGCAAGGATGACGGAGTATGGTTTTACGCCGCTTTCAGCAATGTTCCAGCAATATCACCACGGGGGGACACCAAAAATGGGCTTCACACATTGTACCCATGTGGGGGAATCGGACCAGACAAGCCAGTGATCAACAGCATGAGCACCAATCTACACAATTGGGAACCAATGACATGTGTCAACCAAGTCAGCGAGCCTGACCACCCAATCCCGTTAAGCGCCTCTTATGACAAGCATGGGTTACTGAAGATCAATTCTAACCCGGATCTTCACGGGTGACATGAATAAATATGTGAGGAAAGCCCACGATACACACACTACTCGTTTATGTTTATTTCTTTATTTTAAACAACAGGAGTGAAGTATGTTGTCGACGGTGCACGGATCATATAAACTGATATTCGAACCGCAATCAGCAGATATCTTCGCTCTGCTAAGGGAGGCAGTTCTGCATTCTGCTCGTTCATACACCTTTTCCTTTGAAGTCATCATCATACAAATTAATACCCGACATAAATGCTTACGTTTCAGGAAGTTGGAAACATCCTCAAGTTGGGGTATTATCTCAGGTCCGTAACCACATTCCTCTTCCAGCACTTTAAAGATGGCGTTGTGCTGCTTGCACGCATGCGTGGGATACAGCTCCTTCAGCGTCCGGTACACGTGAGCCCTGATTTAATAGAGGAGTCCGTGAGTGAGAACCTTTGATCAATTTATCGTTATTTCATGTCGTATTTCAGGTAAATACGAGAGGAGGGTTTGTGACACCAACTATGTGTGGTAATGATAGCAGGTTCATAAAACAACGAATGTTTGATACAGCGCTCGAATGCTGCGGGGAAATTTGGCACGGGACACCTATATAATTTGTGGTTTAATGTGGTTTTCTGAAATTAGATTTGATTAACTAATTAATAACCTTATAAACTCAATCAAACACGTTGTTTCCTATTCTGTAGAACGCAATTGTCAATATTTGATTTAATATTTAAAATTAAATTAAAATGACATATACATTTCATTTTAACTGAAAAAAACCTCATTAATGTTCCATCTTTAAACTTCAAACCGTAAATGAATATGTGTTATCGATGAAGAGAAACCGAGATGATATTCTCAAGACATTATACCTTTAAATACACGTGAAAAGATATGATTGGTATTGATTTCAAATATATTTCTTCTTTTAAACGATTTCATTTGTACGAAAAATACTGTACACATGAAAACCAGAGTTGAGCGAAAATTACTAACGTTATTAAAACGAAACACTACAAAGTTGATGTCTAAAACACAGCCATGATATCCCTATCGAAGACATTACCATCCAATAAATATTTCTTGTTTGTTTCAGCGACCATTAAACATAGGTGTACACTGTCTTTTGTCCGGCAGTGTAGTACCTTTTATCAACGAATATTTTATCGAAACGACACGTTTAAAAGATAAAGAATTTTGTTGAAATTCATATAATCCTGTTTGAGAGAAGTAAATCGAAACGTTTCACTGGAAGCATAAATTGAAAATTTGACTTAACAGCCTTCCTTCATTGTTGACACATGAAAATGTCACTATAAATGGCAATAATGTTTTTAATGTTTCGTACACAACATTCTAGGATATATTGTATGTTTATTATTGTGTATCAATTTTCCCAGTAATAGATTTACAGACACATCGCCCAACAGAAGTTAACACAAACATATCACCACCGCTATGGGCCATGCCATCTTCATTACAAAATCATCGCCGTCTATCCAATGACTCAACACATTAATACTGAGACCAATGGCGCGATGATGACTGCGCCAAAGGGTCAACATCTCCGGAAACCGACTGTTGACCAGCTGTTAAAGCCTGTCTGTGGATAATGTGTGTCCAGCTTAGAGACCTACTCTGGCTCCGGGACCAGAGTTGCGCCAGGACATGCCCCGTCACGTCTCCACCGGACTGAGTAATCGCCCAAGAGGAAGTACTTCTCCCATCATCGTGTTGTGATGGAGAGCAAGGGCGATGTAAACAGATGAAGGGATGTCTTACCATGTAGCAACTTCGTCTTCCGAGTATGTGACCCTGGGTATCGCTTGTGAGCTGGGGGAAGAGAGGAGACGTCTGTCAACATGGTCATATATTAGGGATGATTGTGAATTCACGTTTTGATGCATTGGGAATATTAGCTGTGGAATGCATTTCTCTGATCTTAATAACTGAATTGATGGTTAATAGACATATCTACTAAAAGCCAGACATTGCGGTCATACCATGGTTTCGGAAAAACTCGTCGTAATACCTACTTCTACCAAGAGAAAAATGTCCTGTTCGAAAATGTCCCACTGGTTGTCCGGTTAGACCAAAAACAAAAATCAATTTGTAGTTGCCACATGAAAAGGGCTCATGTACACGGAGAACCGTACACCTCAACCAATAATACTCTTATCCATGACTTTGCACGGCTAATTAACGAAAATGCCTTCGTTTTGGTGTAAATGAAGAGAAGGAATGGTCATGACTGGACTGTCGGTTGTGACAAGCCTAGCTCAGTATCGGATTTTGTGTGTTTGTTTGTTTAATGCCACAATCAGCAATATTCCAGCTATATGGTGGTGGTCTGTAAATGATCGAGTCTGGGCCAGACAATCCAGTGATCAACAGCATGAGCATCGATCTGCGCAGTTGGGAACCGATGACATTGTGTCAACCAAGTCAGCGAGTCTGACCACCCGATCCCGTTAGTCGCCTCCTACGACAAGCATGGGTTACTGAAGGCCAATATGCTAACCCGGACCATCACGGGTTAGTGTTTCAAGAAGTGTTTCAAGAAGTAGGTAGAAGGACTGGGAAAGGTATATCTTACACCAATGTACGAAAATATCTACCGCACGTCCACCCGCTCCCCAGAGGCGTCCTCCTATAAGTTAGACGTCCCAAACCCAAACACACAACTTATACATTTGTAGTTGTCTAACCCAAAACATGGGTTTAAGTCCTATACACACTGACACACGTTACACCAACCCGTTCAAAGTTTGGTGGATTAAAACTCAAAAGAGAAAAACCAAAACGGACATACACATTTAAAGTACTTTGTTCTGTCAGCTGAGCGGTACCGAGTCACCATTATTTATTGGCTTGTGGTTAGATAAATGGTTCAAGAACCATTTAGAATTTAATTCATTTGTAATACATTAGTTTATGGTGAGTGAGTGAGTGTATGGTCTTACGCCGCTTTTAGCAATATTCCAGCAATATCACGACGGGGAACACTAGGAATGGGCTTCAAACATTGTACCCATATGGGGAATCAAACCCAGGTCCTCGGCATGACGAGCGAACTATTAACCAAAAGGCTACGTCACCGCCCCTGAGTTTATGGTCAAACAGTTTAATAACCGTTTTGTCTCTATACGTGCAGATTTGGACGAGTATATAAAAACAACAATTCTCATTACATGTATGGTAGATCGTCTCCCGCTTGTTTACACATTGTACATGACACGTGATTAATTTCTTCAAAACTTTGAAACCTTTTCATTATTTTGGGAAGCAATTACAATTTTCTTACAATTTGGAATTTTTGTGCACATAACTGCGTTCATGTTCAAATTAAATGCAATGACGTCATATTTGCAAATTGCTACAAATATTTTTGTCTCTTCGGTCTATTGGCTCTGCAAGATTACCGCCATGTGCTCTTATAACGGTAACAGTCTTTGCTTCACTGTAATATATATCTCACTGATTCATTCAAATACTTCATATATTTTGTGTGTTCGCTCATTCGGCGTTTAGGGCGGTGGGGTAGTCTAATGGTTAAAGCGTTTGCTCATCACGCCGAAGACCCGGGTTCGATTCCCCACATGGGTACATTGTGTGAAGCCCATTTCTGGTGTGCCCCGCCGTGATATTGCTGGAAATATTGCTAAAAGCGGCGTAAAACCAAACACACTCACTCATTCGACGGTGAGTCTGTCAAATCTATATATTCCAAAAGTTTGTTTTATATTATTTCGGGTGTCTAAGTGTGTAAATAGTAAATGCAATGTAAAGTTTAATATTTGTTGTACAATGTTTGAGGATATTTTTGTTGGGGGCGGGTTAACTACAGTTCGGACTGGTTTCCTTTGTTGTGTTCGAGTCCGCAAGAAATATGTGAACGCGTGTACGGTAACCCAGTTTGTTGGGTATAGGTGAGAGGGCGAGATTAACGCTGCTTTTATCAATATTCCAGCAATATTCTCGGCGGGGTACACCCTGAATGGGCTTCACACATTGTACCCACTGGGAATCGAACCCGGGTGTTCGGCGTTACGAACGAAAACCTCCACCACTAAACTACCTCACCGCCCCTGGTGGTGGGTATTGTGGCCGTGGAAACTCGTTGACAATTACATCACAATAAACCTAAAAGTATTCTTACTGTCGATAAGTGAAGGCTATGTCAGCGATCTCCTTCCGCCTCTTTCTGTACTCGATGTCTGTGTAGCCCTGGAAGTAAGAATGGTTGAGTGAGTGAGTGAGATGAAACACCGCATTACATCAATAATGCAATCATATATATTGCCACCTTAATAAGACCCTAAAACATAAGTATGACGTAACAAACCAAGGTTGATAATCTTGACGAATATGGGACTCGAACCAATTATCAGCGGATCCTGCTGGGATAAACTAAGCGTAATACACCACTTGACCAATAATGTTCATCCTTATAATAATACATTACTCTACTAACATGAATTATTATTTGAAATTTTGGTTTATGGAACACACAAATGTTAATAATTACTGATTACAAGAAAACGCTTTGTCTATACGTCATGGGATATGACCTTGCACGTGACCTTACCGGATGATGGTGATCAAGTTCCGGTTCAAACTTGGTGACAATGTGCGTGCATTGGTCAAGCTCTGATATGTGCCTCGGGAACCACAGCTCTGGAAGTAACACAAGCCTGTTCATTGTCTCCAATCACGAGATAAATCATATTTGTAATTAACGGGATTGAGATACACTCTGACGAGGAACATGACACATGCGTTATGAGAATAAACATTTGAGGTAGGATACATTTAGTGATTAGATTGCCCACTGATCACATCCATCAGTTTCCTTTGAGCTATTATGACATAACAAATTATTCATTGTGTATCAGTAGACTGGGCAAACATATCATATCTCGAAGCTATTTGCTGGAAAACGTTAACGTGTATTGTGCTAATTGTGAACCTGTCAAACTATATATTTACGGTCAAATTTCAAATTCAAATCGGTTTTTATTGCTTGTGCTATCGGGATGACAACTGGAACATCACTATATTAGATTTTATTATAGTAACAGCGGTGAGCGGATCTACGTGGGTGGGGTGGTGTGGTGGTGGGGGTGTGTTTAATGTCGGAGTTTTAGTTCTATGGCGTGTCGGGTATCACATACTGGAGGAAATTTCTTCACTATAAAGGGGATCACGTTTTGTGTTGTCATCGATCACTGGTCTATTGTTGTCATCGATCACCGGTATATTGTAGTCATCGATCACTGGTATATTGTTGTCATCGATCACTGGTATATTGTTGTCATCGATCACTGGTATATTGTTGTCATCGATCACTGGTATATTGTTGTCGTCGATCACTGGTATATTGTTGTCATCGATCACTGGTATATTGTTGTCATCGATTACTGGTATATTATTGTCATCGATCACTGGTATATTGTTGTCATCGATCACTGGTATATTGTTGTCATCGATCACTGGTCTATTGTTGTCGTCGATCACTGGTATATTGTTGTCATTGATCACTGGTATATTGTTGTCATCGATCACTGGTATATTGTTGTCATCGATCACTGGTCTATTGTTGTCACCGATCACTGGTATATTGTTGTCATTGATCACTGGTATATTGATCACTGGTATATTGTTGTCACCGATCACTGGTATATTGTTGTCACCGATCACTGGTATATTGTTGTCATCGATCACCGGTATATTGTTGTCATCGATCACTGGTATATTGTTGTCATCGATCACTGGTATATTGTTGTCATCGATCACCGGTATATTGTTGTCATGATCATCGATCGATCACCGGTATATTGTTGTCATCGATCACTGGTGTATTGTTGTCATCGATCACTGGTATATTGTTGTCATCGATCACTGGTATATTGTTGTCATCGATCACTGGTATATTGTTGTCATCGATTGTTGTCACCGATCATTGTTGGTATGGTATATTGTTGTCATCGATCACTGGTATATTGTTGTCATTGGTATATTGTTGTCACCGATCACTGGTATATTGTTGTCCTCGCTCACTGGTATATTGTTGTCGTCAATCACTGGTATATTGTTGTCATCGATCACTGGTATATTATTGTCATTGGTATATTGTTGTCACCGATCACCTGTATATTGTTGTCATTGGTATATTGTTGTCACCGATCACTGGTATATTGTTGTCATCGATCACCGGTATATTGTTGTCATCGATCACTGGTATATTGTTGTCACTGGTATATCGTTGTCATTGGTATATTGTTGTCATCGATCACTGGTATATTGTTGTCGTCAATCACTGGTATATTGTTGTCATCGATCACTGGTATATTGTTGTCATCGATCACCGGTATATTGTTGTCATCGATCACTGGTATATTGTGTTGTCATTGGTATATTGTTGTCACCGATCACTGGTATATTGTTGTCATCGATCAGTCGTACAGTGTTGGTCACGATTCCTAGCATAGTGTTGTACACAGTCTGTAGTGTTGTTATCGCTAGATCCTATAGTGTTGTCCACGACCCTCGTTGTTCCCTCGTATAGTGTTGTCCGTGATCGCTCTACAGTGTTGCCATTGCGAGCTCTTATAGGGTTGTCAACGATCACGTGTTGTAGTACAGTGTTGTCAACGTCCCTCGTTCAGTGTTGTCCATGACGTCTCTTTTGTGTTGTCAACGTCCCTCGTATAGTGTTGTCAACGATCACCCTTGTAGTGACTTCAACGATCAGACACAAATCAAGACAATGTAAATGAATGTGGATCTGGGTTCGAACCTTGGTTTTCGGATCCTTACACAAGGTTACGCACATCCATTCATGTCCCTAGGCTACTTGTCTACCGGTATTTGTGATTCTTTGGCATGAAGCTGAATTGTCCCAAAGTAACGTTCAAACATTTCATCCACGTAAATTCCATTAACAGAAGTATTTTTCATGACCAGCCTCCTAAAACCGTGTCCTTGGACACGTGGAACTCCAGGGGCGTGGCCAAAGATTAATCAGACGCAGGTTTACGTGTATTAAATCTCCCATCATAAGTTTTCAAGGCGATATTATACAAGTTTGAATTGTTGTGTTGCCTCAGTATTGTCATTGTTTTCTTGTTTATGAGGGGGCGATGGGGTAGCCAAGTGGTTAAAGCGTTCGCTCGTCACGCTGAAGGCCCGGGTTCGATTCCCCACATGGGTACAATGCGTGAAACCCATTTCTGGTGTCCTCCGCCGTGATATTGCTGGAATATTGCTAAAAGCGGCGTAAAACCATACTCACCCCCATCACTTGTTTATGAATTATACTTAACAACCTGAACCATTTCATTCGTTGATCTTATATACATTGTGTAATTAATGATGAAGTGTATTTTCATACATCATAATGGACTCACCTTTACTCTCAGTCTCAGCCTCACCCAAGATTTCTATGTCCAGTACAAATGGACTCTGCTTCATCAAGTCGCACGCGCTTGTCACGCCCTCTAGGGAGCATGCGCACTGGAGGAATATCTCAAACTGGGCACCTTTCTTCCGGGCCTTCCTGGATTCGATATGTTGGATGGCAATCTTGGCGGTCTGGAACAACGAAACAGTAGCTTTCCAGTTACCCTGTAATATACTTGCCAAAGAAAACGGCTTCAATTGAGTAATAGTGTAAATTACCTGGTTTCAACGCCACGTAGTACAGTATACCAGTTACATCATGGCATATTAAGCGCTTGGATAGATATCTTGGGTAAAAGTATGATCTTCACGTAACAGCTGGTATTGGTGTTCCGTGTGTAATGTGAGGTGAGAGATGCATGCGCTTTCCAGTGTGCCAAATAGTTTCCAAATTTTGTTAGCAAGTCGGGCTAGTTATGCCTGAAAGTTACTAGCCCACAAAATAATTCACTAGCCCGAAATTTGAATGTAGAAACTAAGCAAACGCTTACAAAAATACATGAGAATAAGATATTGTCGGCATGGCACGGGTTTCATCATTAAGCTGCTCATATGATGAACATTGTTATCAGGTCATAATATTGCATCATTTAAGAGTGTATATTTACAAAATGATATCATGGAAATTCACAAGTCAGTCGGGCCAGCGACTGTGAAGATTTACTCGCCTCGACTGGATTTGTGCTAGCCACGGGCTAGCGGGCCAGAGATGACCAAGTACTGGTGCTGGCAACTGCATTATGATCACAGACTGTCTCTCCAATATCCTAGTTTATGACATAATCACTGGACGATTCAGGTCGCTTAACACGGGCTACTTACAATAGTTTGTTTTAACTAGGATTGGATATTTCTGGTAAAGCCAAGATATTAGCAACACAAATCCTATATACAGATAGACAACATGGTATTCTATATTCATTTCCAATATCCTTTTATAACATGCTGGAACGTACCTACTGAAAGGCATCCAGTGTCCCACACGAACCATCAAAGTAAATTGTTCAAACAACGAAAAGCCAGGGGTATAGGAATTGCATAATATGCGAAATGTCCTTACTACGTAGTTTTTTAAATAGTGCTTTTGTTATCCTATTTATCATAATCCGAAATATATGACATGTTGAAAAATATATATCAACTTATTAATATTTCTATCTGTTTATATTGATATCAGTTCTTAAAAGTACCTTAATGCTTTTAGTAGCTATAGTTGCGGAGATGTGTCTGTGGTTTCCGGCACTAGATCGATTCTATTTCCGTAGATTTCCGAGTGACCCCGGGAACCAACGGAAGGAGACGTTCCGATTTTTCACTGTCCCGCACCGAATCAGCCATGAGCTCACTGGAGCGTGAACACTTACCAACCAGGGCCTAGATTTTCGAAGCTCTCTTAGCGCTAAGATAGTCGTAGGTGCCATACATTAGCATTAACTTACGACTATCTTAGCGCTAAGAGAGCTTCGAAAATCTAGGCCCAGGCTCATATTGATTTAGGATTCCACTACACTATGCAGATAAAGGGTTAATCTAAGTCTACATATTTGTTAGTGAAATAAATTCCTGGTTGGTCAAACTTGCTAATGACAAGAAATGATGTGACATGCAGCCGGTGACCGGACTCCAAACTGGCATCTGCTGTTTACAGTATGCATGTCGTTACAACCAAGGCGAGTTGCTGTCATTTATATGAGCCGCCATAACGCTGGAATATTGCTGAGTGCGGCGTAAAACTAAACTCACTCAGTCATTATATGAGATATCCGAGGATCGACTGGAAAAGTACATTTGTAAATACATTATGGATATTATATTTTGACATGAATTATTGAGCAAATGTTTGCACAACAAACCTGCACTGAATAAAGTGGTTTTTATCACAAAACAGTGTCACGTATTCATCACGTATCATGTTTCGTTTCGAATCAACATGCCGGAAGTGTACAGTTGTCCAGGGAGACAACTCTGTTTATCAATCCTAAAGGGCCTGTATTTGTGTTTTTAAGTTCGCAGTGTTTCGGCGATGTTTTCAATCCAATAACGTTTAGATAATGTTTGTGATGTTTTGGTCTAATCAAGGTTTTAAGTGTTTACTTTCTTCTGAAAGTAGCGACAAGTAATTATTCCACAGAAATATTTGGGTCACCCTACGAGGGAAAAACTTATAAGAATTTTATTATCAGAAGACGAATCTGTCCATGTAAAATTAGCCCTGTTTTTAATACATTCGCTGTCGGTAAGGAAGGGTCTGATTTCTCCTGTCAATTAATTTCACAATGGTATGATGCCTGTCATTATAACACTATGTATACGGGCCGGAGGCCTTATGTACAATAAACAATCTTGATCTTGACAAGTGATGACAAACAAAAATCATTATAAATCAGAATCTGTGCTTGGAGCCCTCGATTTATATGATCTTGTCTCACTGAAGGGACGCAACTTCAGAAAGATGAAGACTAGTCCTGCTTTATACAATAATTCAAGCTTTCACAATCAGGTCACCAGCGTTCCCCGGTGATAGGAATTTATATTGATATTATGCATTCCTACACGCCTTCCATATACATGTATTCTAAAACGCAGTGCCCTCTCTACAGAGAAATACTGCCGAATTATAGAGACGATGGAACTGTCATGGCGGACGAGTGAGTAGTTTGGAGGTTTAAACAAGACATTAAAAACCATTAAATACGAATCAGTGACAAGAAAAGATCTGCGCATTAACTGAATAACAGCCACTTCAACAGAATTATCCAAAAACCACTCCCTTTTGGTGTTGTATTCACAGAGTGGCCATGTCGGATTAAGCTATCTGCCATTAGGGATCGTAATGGCTAAAAACTACGTATGGTCTTCTGACAAATACTCCACGCAGTCATAAAGAACTTAAAACGCATCAGTGGAATTTGTCAACGACTCTGTGTTGTTACATAAAACATCGTTGCTTTGTTACCCTCTAAAAGCTCGAGGCTGAGCACACAGATACTCGCATGCAATTGACATTTTACAATCATGATGGTATTTAACGACAATGGCTGACCAAACACCGCCATGCTTAGCATATGGTGAAGATCCACCTCGTGGCGTGACAGCGCCAGATCAATGATCAACTAGCTGACATTGGGGCTCCTTCGTACCCTTTGTAAGTTCCCATGCTCATAAAAGCCCATTAGGTGACATCGATTCTTTTATGGGGCCATTTGGCGGAGGTCTGTTGACAAGTGTATCGGTCCTTGCAGGCGAGTAACAAGGCGTGGTAACCCGAAGTAAAGACCAGTATCAAATTGGCACGAGGGGAGCATTAATTATTACACTTCGATAAAGATTCTGGAAAATTGGTGTAATCACCGCAAGTCGTAAATCATGAATAAACTCGACCCAAGAGTTGCTTTCATATTCAAATAAAATCTCTATGAGACTGGCTGAGTGTTGTTTTACGCCTCAGTAGGCCATTTTCGTCACAAAATACAATTTCTTATATCTGAATTGAATTGTAATCTAAGCTGTGATACCCAAACAGGCTCTCAAAAAGGAACTAATTGATAATGTCCATTTGAAAATTGAAGTTCTGCAATGCAGCAGGTTACCATCCCTTCCATTAGATAGGGGCGGTGGAGCAGCCTAGTGGTTAAAGCGTTCGCTCGTCACGTCGAAGACCCGGGTTCAATTCCCCACATTGGTGTAAAGTGCATTTCTGGTGTCCCCCGCCATGATATTGTTGGAATATTGCTAAAAGCGGCGTAAAACTAAACTCACTCACTCCATTAGATATTTTAGGATTACAGCTAAGATGCTAGGTAAAGAAAGTATGCATCCATTTTTGATGGTGCAGAGGATGAAACACATAAGGAATGGTTATTGGAAGATGAGGTATTTGCTACAGGCATCACAGCTGTGTGTGGACCTTAACGTTGCTGTGTTTCGGAGATTTGAGTTCAGCGTAGTAACACGTTGATAACGTTTGGAACTGTTTGATCAAATCAAATGTTTATGTGTAGACGTTTCGTTCGGCAATTTTAGTTATGTACTAAGGGTTGAAAGACCAAACATCACCCAAGGTCTAAATATATATCTTATTAGTATTCCAGTCAACGTTAGTTTAAGATCTTAAGTGTAAGGTTCTTGCAAATACAACGTCTAATTCGATAAAATATTTATAGGGCCCTGCGTCGTTTTAACACAGATCCTATACTAAAGCTGTGACCCGTGAACATACGGTTTAAAATTGATCTTCAGTAACCCATGCTTGTCGTAAGAGGCGACTAACGGGATCGGATGGTCAGGCTCGCTGACTTGGTTGACATATGTCACCGGTTCCCAATTGCGCAGATTGATGCCATGCTGTTGATCACTGGATTGTCTGGTCCAGACTCGATTATTTACAGACCGCCGCCATGTAGCTGGAATGTTGCGGCGTAGAACTAAACTCGCTCACTGAAGCTGTGATGGTAATTTTTGAAAACCGTGTTATATCATATATAAATTTATGTACCTCGCTGTAAGCCTTTAAGGTTAGAGAAGATAAACATATTGTCCACGGTTCACGGTCAACGGTCCACGTGTTATGCTTGTCTGACCACTCCTACGTCCCTGAAGAAGACAAAGGTAAAATCTCTCTGCATCATCAACTGACCTCAGTTGTCTTTTCTTTGCCGCTGTTGATATCGTGAGATATATGGAGAAATAAATTTATTTACGCCCTAAAAATCATATACTATGTAGAAATTATACCATACCTAATACGTGACGTAAATAATCGAGTCTGAACCAATCCAGTGATTGACACTATGAACATCGATCTACACCATTGGGAAACGATGACATGGGTCAACCAAATCAAATATCCTGACCATTCGATTCCGATGTCTTACAAGTCAGTGTTGAAGACCAATTCTAACCCGAATCCTACCGTGTCCAATCGTTCATGTATCCAGAAGTTGTGGTGTGGATGATAAGTAAGTTCCATAAGAGGATTTGAACATATATTTGTATGTTAGTTTCTGTCATCATAGTATATAGAAGAAGCAATGGCACACCACAACTACCTCATCTCGGTATTTCATTAAGACGATGGAAGTTTTTGGTCTTACAGAATCTAGCTCTTGCGGCACCGTGGTCTCGAAGTACTG